TATCTTTACAGAAAATTCAAGAGATTTCTCTGTCAGTCTTTCTAGAACATACACATAAACACAAGAGTGAGTTTAGAGTGTTGTTCAAATCCTAATCATGATCAAAGTCTTGTTTCTACAATGATCAGAGAAAAACAGATATACTTCTACATCGAATTCAGATATTGAAGAACAAAAATAAGCAATCACACTTTGAAAGGGTCAAAACATTCGAGGAGTGTTACTTGCTACTCTTCTACAAAAATCAAACATAAGCCTGAGGTCATGTTGTTGTTGGACGGGACGTCACAAAGTCAGAGGATTGTCAGCTATTGGTGTTTGGTAGAGTAATAGGGTGTGAGCCAGAGTCAAAATTCACTGTACTTTGTTTCAAACATAGTGGATCGGTTTACTTTAGACTGCATAGTCCACAAGGTTTTTCTCGCGTAAACAATTGACGTATTTTCTCAATTGGGTTTCCTCGATAAAAATCCTGGTGTCATCTCTAACTCTTACTTTGCTTTATTTTATCTTACATGAGGTTAATTATTTAATTGCTAAAATAAGTAAAGTTGGAAAGACACAAATCTGTTTTTAAAAAATACAAAACTTTTTAAATATTCTGCTGTGTATAACTCACAAATCTGTGTAGGTCGATGTCACAATGAGCACCAAGAAAAATGATTAATACAGATATAAGTCATTAACCATTTTCAAGTGCACATAACCTCACGCAACTCACCAAATGAATGCACAGAACAACCCCTCTAATTTTTGGTTAATCTGATTGAGAATCTTGATTTCATTCGCTATTTTTGGACCCTGTTATTGTTAGTGGGGTTCATGCATAAAAATTTAAATTGGTTGATCTCAAGTTATAGTAAAATGGCTCTAATACCATATATAATAAAAACAAAACAAAAGATAGACTTTGAGGTCTAAATACTATTTTTGGTGAGTTATGGGGATTTCTCACAAATGTTGAGGTCTAAGTACAATTCTTTATCGTAAAAGGGATTCAATCACAAAGTTTACAATTGTTTATGTTTAGGTAAATACATAGTTTTTCCCAAATGAGATGGCACCCAATTCTATACGCAATCAGTAATGGCACTTGAAGAAAAACGTTGCAAAGTGGTAAAAATTTCTCCAATTTCAGTCAAGTAGATTTGATTGCAAGTCAAAAAGGGTTGTCAGAATTGCCGGTGCATTTTTCCAATTGGTGGGCCAAAAGTAAGCTTCTGATTTAAGCTCCAAATGGTGGATAAATTTGAGCCATAAAATAAATGTGAATGCATTACTTGCATTCACATTATTCAACAGAAACTTTATAATTGATTGCTGTTGTTTTTTAATTTCAGCTATTGGAAATTATCTGAGAATTTGAAAAAAGAATCTGTAAGAGTTGCTGCTGTTGTTTTTGAATGCTGAATGGACTATAGATATATGTTTAGCAGCTCCGGCACTTTGAGGTCTGATTAGTCTCAGATCCAAAGCTACGTTCACATTCATATTTTTTTGTTCCTCCTGATAGATGTGAATATGTGTGCCTTTACTGTCTGCAAATCTGATCGAAGCGAACCACATGAAATATTAGACACAGATTTAAATAATAAAATCTAGTTTATTAAATCTACAATTTTGGAGGCTTTTTTTATTTTTTATTTTTTTATAATGTAATTCCAAAGCAATAATTGTCCTATATTTGGGAGCACCAAATTAATACTTTAGATTAAAATTTTGAAAAATATATATTTTTCAATTTTAATTTTAAGTTGTCCAACTATCTAACCACTGGATAAAATATAAGTCTCGCTGGATTCTTTGGTATTTGGCTTTGTTGGATTAGGATATCCAACTCCAAAAATTAACCCCTTAAATAGGGACCATTGTTCCATATAAGTCCAATTTCTCACAATGCGGAATTCGTCCAACCATCCAACACAAGTTCAAACTCTTAGAAAAAAAAAAAAAAAAGGGTAAAGTGCATTAAATCCCCTTCAACTATACCTTAATGAGCAAAAAACCCTCCTGAATTTATAAAGTAGCATAAAATCCCCTGAAGTATGTTGTTTGGTTGCACTTTACCCCAATCCGGCAGCCGGCCAATGGATTTCTACCATGTGATAGCCCATACTTCTCTAAATGACCAAAGAGCCCTTATGGAATGTAAAAAGACCATAATAACCTTTAAAGACATTTGGACCCAACTAGTATCCAAACAAGCACTAACGTTTTGTCCGTCTCCCTCATCGATCTGTGCAGTATATATCTGCCTATATATGTATACATCTATCTATCTATCTATCTATCTATATATATATATATATATATATATATATATATATATATATATATATGTTGTATGTTTTACAGATGCTCGTGACCGATCCTTTGGCATTAGAACTGAAACGATCCAAGGCATAGAAGCTTGGATTCATCCCATTTACAGAACAAGAAAATTTCAAAATTACAAAAAAATTAAAAAATCAAAACCCATTTACAGAACAAGAAGCTTGGATTCATCCTTGCCGGCCGGTCCACTCCACCGCCGCATTTCTTCCTCACGGCCGAGCCCTCGCCGGTCCATCACCGCCGCTGCTCCACCCGTCGTCCATCACAGCCGACATCATCCAAAGCCGAAACCGCCGAGGCCGCCTTCATCCTTTCCACCGTCCGAAGCCTCCAACCCATAACCACCGGTCCACCACCACCTTCAACCAATTAAAACCATCACCGCTCTCCACCCAAAACCTCCACAGTCACCATACTGCCCAACCAATCCACCCTAGCCGAAAAAATGAATTTGATCATGGCTTTGCCAAATTTCCCCAAATAATATTCAACCAAAAATAAAGTAAAAAATAAAAAATTCCCAAATCACGAACTCTGCAACTGGTATGGTTTTTTGTTGCCGTCAAACCCAGAAACGGCGCCGACGAGGACAGAGGACAGCGGCACAAGGAGTTACTGGTGAGGTGGTGATGACGCGCTGGGTGTGGCACAAGGAGTTACGGGAGTCCATCATCATCTGCGCCGTCGACAACACTGGGATGTCATATCTGCTTTCGTCATTTGCCGCCGTGAAGAGGTCAACTATGAAAAGGTCGTCCGGTGAGGACTCGGTCGTGATGGTCCATCTCCGCCGCCCGGGTCTTTGCCGCCTTTACTTCTATTCTTCGCGGGACACATGGGACATGTTGGTGATCTCAAACGCCGACGAGGACGACGGCTGCTTGCCGTCGGTGTCGCCGGTCAACGACGACATGAACGAGGTGGCACTATAACTGGCCGGCGAGATCGATGTGCTCCCTTTCCCTTTTGTGTCTATATATATATGTGTATATATATATTATATACATATATTTATAATATATACACACATAGAGAAATAGAGAGAGGGAGATAGAAACGATGTAGTTTTGAATAAGGGTAAAATTGTCTTTTATCTTTTCCGGTGGCCTGAGTGGGCAAATTGCAAAAAAATGAAAGTTCAGGGGGGTTTTTTGTAGTTCAGGGGGGTTAGTTGCAAAACCCCCATAGTTCAGGGGGGTTTAATGCACTTTACCCAAAAAAAAATAATAATAATCTTATTTTAGGAGTGTTGCTTTAGCCATAGGGTCAGGAAACTGTCCCACCAGAAATTGCAAGGAAGCTTCGTTCAGGAGGAGTTGGATTATTCTTCTTTACTTTTGCACCACATTTTTATAGTGTGTAACGACCCACTCCACCACATGGTATGATATTGTTCGCTTTGGGCCTGAGCCCGCACGGTTTTACTCTTAAACTTTACCCCACCACATGGTATGATATTGTTCGCTTTGGGCCTGAGCCCGCACGGTTTTACTCTTAAACTTTACCCCAAAAGACCTCATACCAATTGAAGATGACACACTTACATATAAGCACTTCACCTTTCCTCTATCCAGGCGATATGGGACTGTGCACCCGTAACTCGTCGGTGTGGTAGCCTGACAGTGTCTCTCGCACCCGCCCACGGCACACCCGCCCACAAGGTCATCACAATCCACCCCCTTTGGAGGCCCGACGTCCCCATCGGCACACTTCCGGCTGGGTCAGGCTCTGATACCATTTGTAACGACTCACTCTACCACATAATATGATATTGTCCACTTTGGGCCTAAGCCTGCACGGTTTTGCTCTTGAGCTTCACCCTAAAAGGTCTCATACCAATTGGAGATGACACACTTACATATAAGTACTTCACATTTCCTCTACCCAAGCGATGTGTGACTATACACCCGTAACTCGCTAGTGTGGCAGCATATCAGTGTCTCTCGCACCCGCCCATGGCACACCCGCCCACAGGGTTATCACAATATCATACCATGTGGTGGAGTGGGTCATTACATGGTGTGTCTGAAAGGACTTTTGTGGGGCACTATGGACGCAGAATTGTTAGCTGTCTTCTAGCAAAGAAGATGATTTGACTTCTGATTTCCTAAGTCACCGGTGTAGTTCCCGCGTAATTGTTATAGATACGTATAATTAGATACGTAGGGTTCTGATAAGAATAATACTTGACTACTTACTGTTGAGTAGTTCATTCTTACTGACTGCTAATGTAGTTCAAGAAAAAATGTACACGTAGACTTCCTTCATCTTTCCTGCTCAGTCCTTATTTGCAATGCGAGTGGCTACCGAGCCGAAGTGTGAGAAGAGGATTCCCCTTCTCACATGGTCCCTATTTGCCGGTGCTTTTTTCGGAGTGGGAGCAGAAATCCCTTCTAACTGAACCCAAGAGGTATTTGAAAGGTTGGCGGCGTACGTGATATTACGCGTATATATAATTTGTGATTACAAAATCAAGAAAGAAATAAAATCAAGAAATTAGATTCAAATTTATTCTAAAAAAGATATATATATATTATTATCCTTATTTATTATTATTATTTTGTGATCATGAGTACATTTTTTATTGGACCTATTAAAGGTTCATAGGTGCAGCGTCCCACTAAATTTTATTTATTTATTTAAATATGAATTGATTTGTGGGCTATGAAAATCATTTTCCCACGGAAGATGGTAAGAAAAGAAAAAAAGGTGGGGTCAAAAAATAATAAAAATAAAAAGTAGTGGTGATTTTTTGTTGAAGTGTGAAGAACATTACAAGAAAGCTTACTATGTGGATCCCATTCCCATTCATGAATTTTTTTCCTCTTTTCTTCATTTATATCGGCTCACTATGCTCTGCCCCTCTCACACTTGTCTTGATTTGGCTTCTCTCCTCTTTTCTTCAATCACCATATTCACTCTCTGTCTCTCAACTATTTAATCCATCAAGGGAGGAGGAATCTTAATTTCTTCCGGAATTACAGGTAAAAAGTTTTACATTTGCAACTCCATTGCTCAGTATTACAAGTTAATCATTACATAAATAATTACACATTTATTTATTTGTATGTATTGTCTTCTTTCTATTTCAATTTGTTGTGTAAGAGAAGCCACAAAGTTAATATATGTAATAGCAAATCTTGAATCAACCAATTGTCCAATGTATCTGGGAGAACAATCGTATATTATAGGCTTTGAACAATCATATATTCTTTTACCTATCTATTTTATCCTCGTTTATATGCTTTGGAAAGATCTAAGGTCAAGAAAAACAGTAATATATATACCCACATGTACACATAGGATTGATTGTTTAATTGGTGGGAAGATTGAAGATGATGATGTTGAAGATGTTTAATATTATTAAAAGTTAATTACACATCTATTTATTTTTGTATCAATTTGTTGTGTAAGAGCATGCATCCAGCTGAGACCACATAGAGAAGTATGGCCTGAATAAAACTGGCTTCTGGGTGATGTTTTTTTCTTTATTATTATTTTTATATATTTTTTATTTTTTTTCCGGGTCTGATTTCTTCGTTCTCAGTGAGTTAACCCATGTTATATTTTATCTTTTTGATAAAATCTACACATTTCTTGGTTGATTTACCCAAGAGTTTATAAGATCAAAGTGAAACAACCAATTGTTCCAAAAATTTAAGTTTCTGGAAATGAGCAAAGCAATAAAATGTCAAAATGTTAATATCTCACCACCTCAAGTGCCCTTCAAATTTTGATCAATATGTAAAGACCGATTTGTTACTTTATTTCCACCACGACGTTCAATACCAATTTTGCCTCTATTGATCAAACCAAAAGTCCATTATAATATAAGTATATTATATGTATACATAACTTTTCCCCCAATCTTCACAAACGAACCCATTGAATAGAGAGGAAGAGATCATGGGTCACAGTGTGATAGATCAGAATTAAAATAGAACACACCAAAGCCCATAAATCTCTATACCTCTCCAGATTAGAAGAAGAAAAGCAAAATGTGCAAAGAACAAAACCTTGGAAGTCAAGATTTATTTTGGGGCTATTTGCCACACTAGGGGTTATCTACGGTATTGTAAGGGCTTTTTTTTATTTATTATTTATTATTTATTATTATAGAAAGAAAAAAAAAAACCAAACAGTTTGGCCTATAGTTTATTCCTTTATTTATTTATTGAATTCTTAAAAAAATATGTATTGTGCTTGTACAGATTGCATTTGACCTTGTTCATTCAGTTTATTCCTTTATTTATTTATTGAATTCTTAAAAAAATATGTATTGTGCTTGTACAGATTGCATTTGACCTTGTTCATTCATTTCCTTGATTTTGTTCAATGGCGGCTATGGGATCCCAAGAACCCTCCTCAATTCGGTGTTCTTATCATATTTTCTTGAGCTTTAGAGGTGAAGACACCCGAAAGACCTTTACCGATCATCTTTATACAGCTCTGCTACATGCAGGACTACGCACATTTAGGGATGATGATGGACTTACGAGAGGAGATGATATCTCCACAGAACTGATAAAGGCAATTGAAGAGTCGAGGATTTCAATAATTGTCTTCTCAAAATACTATGCGTCTTCAACATGGTGCCTTGACGAACTTCTAAAGATTCTTGAACGCAAGAAGAGTGTTGGTCATACGATTGTGCCCGTGTTCTACCATGTGGATCCGTCCCATGTTAGAAAGCAAAATGAAAGTTTTGCAAAAGCATTTGTAAAACATGAAAAGAACTTTATGTCCGAATCCGATGAAAGAAAAGAGCAGGGAATGAATAAGATAAAGAAGTGGAAGGAAGCTTTGACAGAAGTTGCAAATTTGGCCGGGCATGTTTTAGGAGATAGGTAAGCTTGTCTAATTCATTTACTTTGACATCATTTGATTCAAGTGTTCATAAAATTGAATAAACATTACTACTCAATTCATTAGCTGCATGTCTTTAGATGCTTACATTATTATCCATCCCTCTTATCTTATTTATAAGTGTTTGAAAGATATTTTACAAAACACCTTACATTAAAAATTCAAATTCAGCCATTTTAGAAGTTTTAATGTTGGAAAATTGATTATAGAAAAGTTTTCGGTCAATATACGACTAAAAGATTGATACAAAGCTAACATATGGTGTGCAATCCTTCTTATATGATCAGGAACTTTTCTACATTGTCTGGAAAACCAGAAATTGCTAAGAATATAAGGGGAATTGCATATCATAGGTTAACAATATCGTATGAAGCAATGAGGACTTCAAAGCTACATATCTATATAATTTCCTAAACATAATTTGTGTGCAATTTCTTATGCATTTTTATATTGATTCATTTTTAAAAATTTAATTAGGAGTCATTCTCTTTTTTAACAAACTTGTTTAGCTATTTAAAAGGCCCAATATCCAAAACCCAAACTGGCCCAATAAATTAATAGGCTCGAACTTAGGTGTTGATGTTGGTCTAGATTGGCTTAAAGCCCAATTGATCTTGTTCTAGACGCAGCCAAATTTAACAAAGGCCAAATGGTCCTTTCCTGTCCACCTTTTCATTGTGATGTTCTTAAACTATAGTACATGGACTCTTTAAAAGTAGGTGAAGTACTCATTGCGATATACATTATTTAGACGTGTGTATGTGATATGTGTCCGATACTTTTGGTTGGATATGCTCTTAAAAAATACATGTCCAACAATTTAATTTTATTATATAATTTCTTCAAAATGAGTGAAATGCCTATACTAAACATTGTGTTACATAATGCATTATTTTATTAAGAAAATAAAATAAAAATAGTAAATAATATAAATATTTAGCAATGTCCATGGGTGCTTTTATTTGAAATTTGATAATTTTGACTTATGGATATATACCTGCACCCGACACCGGCCTGGCCCTGAACCTACTTGCCTATGACTTCGTTTCTCAGGAAATCCGCGCAGCGGAAGATCCTGAATTTGAGACTTTCTACACCAAAAATATTCTTTTAAACGAAGGTATTCGTGCTTGGATGGCCGCTCAAGATCAGCCTCATGAAAACCTTATATTCCCTGAGGAGGTTCTACCCCGTGGAAACGCTCTAAGGACCTAAGTTGGTTCGAAAGCCCCTTGTCTTTTTTTTCCCTCAACATAACAGCTTCCTCACTACGGTAGGGATCCCAATAACTCACATCTTGTTAAACTTACAAAGACTAAACAGTCTTAAAGTCATCGTATGGTGTGCTTTTACAATCTGTTATTAAGACACCCGATCTCTTCCCCTTTATTACCATTTAAGATCAACATGGTGAAACTATAATAACATTAAATATTTACATCAAAACCTAATAAACGATACTTGGTAGTATTATATATACTTCAATATATAAGTATACTAGTACTAACTTATTAATCATATATATATATATATGTATATATCATAGTAATTAATAATCTACAAATATATTTTTCTAGGTATTCATAAGTAATTAAACACAATTGTCTGTTTATATATTTATTTGTCCTGAATTACTCTCAATAAAGGACTATTATTGGTCCGAATTAACTTATTAGTCTGGATGTTATTGGTTCGAATTAACATAATTTGAGATCGTTTGTAGCCCCATTTAGGTCTATAAATGAGTTCGACTACAAGCCCGGAGGAGCATGGATTGAAGTTAACACCCAATAACCTGATTTTACTTTAACCTATGGCCTGGGCCTCAGTGTGATAAATTTTAATGGATTGAAGTTAAAGCCCAATCAATGATACTTGGTAGTATTATATATACTTCAATATATAACTATATAAGTATGGTCCACAGAGTAGTTTCAGCCCAATAGGCTTGGTCCTGAGCCACAAAATCTTAATAGCTTTAGTAGATACTATTAATCAATTAACAGGTTAACTCTCTTCTATCAATAGTCAGTGCACATTAGAGTTACGGTGTGGTTAAAAGAATAAGACCAATATCTAATTAACTTTTGAAAGAGACTAATGCAAAATGTATACAAAATGGTAAGACTCACATTTTTTTTATTCTTTTATTTTTTATTTTTTATTTTTATTTTAAAAAAATTACCCTTTAAAGTTTAAAATATGAATTTAAAGTCTTCGATAAATTAAATTCTAAATGTTTTAAATGACATGAAAGCAAATGGACGAATAAAGTCAATAATTAGTAACTAGAAATAAGAAGATTAAACTTTTAGAATGGAAATGCCATTGAGGAGTGTGAATAATAAGAAACCCTTATCTTGAAATTGCTTTCTCAAGCTAGATTTGAAATTTCGTGATATTCTCGCATTTTGCTACAAATATATATTTTTCCTTTCAGTTAAATATCTTTAACAATCATTGATTATGTAATTCTATTAATTCAAGATTTTACAATAATTAATATGCTGCATGAATATATTTGAGTGGTAATGGCTAAACTAAACAACATGAAATTTATTGTCTATGTGTATATATATATATTTCATTTTCATTTAACTTCTTAATTCATTTCTACGTACAACATCATTTGTTTTCCTTTTCTTGGTTACCCTTCGTATTCCCATTGCTATATATAGGTATGAGTCAATTTTTATCCAAGAAATCATTATTATCTCTTGTTTGTATTTTCATTAATTCCTTAATTCGTTTCAGCTGACAAGAAGTTTGCAATTTGTAGGTATGAGTCAAATTTTATTCAAGAAATTGTTAAAGATATTGGAAACAAATTAGATCGCACAGTATTGAGTGTTTGTTCATGCCCAGTTGGATTAGATATTCGTATAAAAGACATTAATTTGTGGTTGCAAGATGGATCAAACGAAGTCGGACTAGTGGCAATATGTGGGATGCATGGAATAGGGAAGACAACCATTGCAAAAACTGTGTATAACTTGAACTTCGACAGATTTGAATGTAGCAGTTTTCTTGCAAATATAAGAGAAATATCAAAAGAACCCCGTGGTCTTGTCCGCTTACAAAGACAACTTCTTTACGATATTTTAAAGCGGAAAGAAACAAAAATTAGCAATGTTGATGAAGGAATCATAAAGATAAGAGAAGCTATTTGCTGCAAAAGAATTTTACTTGTTCTTGATGATGTGGAAAACCAAGACCAATTAAATGCACTACTCGCAATGAGGAGTTGGTTTCAACAAGGAAGTAAAATTATCATAACAACTACAAATGAACAATTGTTAAATGAACAATTGTTGAAGGCACATGGAATGCACAAGCGGCATAGAGTTGAAGGTTTTAGTCATGATGAATCATTTCAACTCTTTAGCTGGCATGCCTTTGGACAAGACCACCCCATTGAAGGATATATGGAGCACACAAAAAAGGTTGTACAATACTGCAGTGGCCATCCTTTAGCTCTTCAAATTTTGGGTTCTTCTCTATGTGGGAGAAGTGTAGATGTGTGGGAAAGTGCAATAAAGAAACTAGAAGCAATTCCTGATAGCCGGATCTTAAAAAAGCTCAAAATAAGCTTTGATTCTTTACAAGATGACCATGATAAAAATTTATTTCTTGACATTTCTTGTTTCTTTGTTAGAATGGACAAAGATTTCATAATTACCATATTAGATGAATGTGATTTTTGCACAAAGGTTGGGATTCAGAATCTCATCGATAGATGTCTCTTAACTATTGATAGACAAAACAAGTTGACAATGCATCAGCTGATTCGAGATATGGGAAGAGAGATTGTCCGCCAAGAATCACCTAAGGAACCTGGGAAGCGTAGCAGAGTGTGGCACAATAAGGATGCCTTAAATGTATTAAGAGAAAAAACCGTAAGAAACATGCCTGTCATTTCTTTTTTATTTTTATTTTTTAAAAATGTTTTTACTAGCCTGTTACTTATCAACCTCTCTTATCAGGGCACGGAAAAGATTGAAGGCCTCATCCTAAATTTGCATGTGTCCGGGCACTACTGGCCTACTCAGAATTTCTTTGGTTTAGATAATTCAAAAAGACGTCATTCTGAAGATTTTCTTGACAAATTAACATTTCCTTGTGGAAGCAATTCATCAAAGCGCCGTCGTTTAGGCATCTTCTCTTGGTTCCCCACGAACTCTGCCTTGACAGAATCATTGTCCACATCAAAGGAAGTATACTTAAAAACTGATGCATTTTCAAGGATGCACAAATTAAGAATACTCCATCTCAACGATGCATTAGTAACCGGAGATTACAAAGAATTTCCAAGGAAGTTAAGATGGTTGTGTTGGCGAGGGTCTCCTTTAAAATTGATACCCAATGAGTTCATTTTAGAGAGCCTAGTCGCTCTCGATATGCGATATAGCTGTTTGAAACAAGTTTGGAAGGGAATCAAGGTATAATACTAACTTATTTATCTTTTTTCCTTTTATGAAGGATTAATATAAACATTCATTTTAATCAATTTCCTACTTTTTGACAACAGGCGCTCCCATCATTGAGAATCCTCGACCTTAGTCATTCCCATGGCCTTAAAAATACGCCCAATTTCTCAGAAGTCCCAAATCTTGAGAGATTGTTTCTTAAAGATTGCATAAATTTGATCGAGGTTCACGAATCCATTGGGAAATTAGAGAGACTTGTTTTGTTAAATCTGAAAGGCTGCAAGAATCTTAGGAATCTTCCTACAAAAATTGGTCATCTAAAATCTCTTGAGAAACTCATCCTCTGTGGCTGCTCAAATCTTGACAAGTTGCCGAGAGAGCTGTGCCAGATGGAATCTTTAAAGGTTCTTGACGCAGATGGTGTTGCAATAAAACAACTAACCTCTAGCAGCAGTGACATAGAATCAGAGCATTCAGGCTGGTTTTCAGGCTGGTTTTCTTGGCCACGAAAATCTCCAGAATCAATCAGTTGTTCACTGGTTTGCTTGCCACGCTCATTAGTAAGCTTGAATCTTTCACATTGCAATTTGTCAGACGATGCCATTCCGAGGGATCTTGGTAGCCTGTCCTTGTTGCAGCACTTGGATCTAGGGGGAAATCCAATCAGTAGCCTTCCAGAGAGCATCAAGGGACTCGCCATGCTCCACTCACTTGAATTAGGAGGTTGCAAAGGACTCCAATTGCTTCCAGAGCTACCAATGTGCTTACGACGGTTGAATTTAAGAAATTGTACGTCACTGGAAATAATGATCAATCTACCAAAGCCGTTGTTTTCACTATCCCGTCTATCCGTGCTTGCGTTGGGATGTGACAAACTAGTAGAGGGTCAGAACTGGTTCAGGTCAGAACCCATTCAAAACATTGATGCAGAAATGATCAAGAATTTGGGATTGGTTGAGTTGGAATCCATAGGAAAGGTTGACGTGTACAATCACCTGACGCGTATGTACAATATTGGTCCCATCCAGGTGCTGCCTCTCTCTCTCACTCTATATATTTATATCTGCCTCTCATTCTCTCCTATTGTAATTGAAGTTATGATGATTTGCATGGATCAGGCACTGTATGAATGCGGAATAGTGAGCATATTTCATACTGGAAATGAGGTTCCATGTTGGTTCAGCAAAAAGAGTAGAAAGTCCTCCATATGTTTCAATGTTCCTTCACTTCCTAATCTCAAGATCCGAGGCTTGAATGTATGCGTTGTTGTTGTTGTTTATGCAATGGGTTACTCTTCCCCCAAGTGGACCAGTATTATTAAAATCTTCAATAAGACGAAGGATGTGAAGTGGGCCTATAGCCCGGGGTGTCAAGGGATTCCAGATGATGGGAAAAGAATGAGATGGTCAAGCCATTGGAAGATTGGGAATCAGTTGGAAGTTGGTGATGAAGTGGTTGTTTCAGTGATGATGAGCGTCAACTATGTAAGTGAGGATTTGTGGGATTATGAAGTAAAGGAGTTAGGAGTGGACATTGTGTATGAAGAAGAGGAGAAGGATACCCAGCTTAGTTACTCTACTTCTTGTCCTGATTTATCAGCATACCAGTTTTCCAAAGGTCGATACAGCCTCGGCCATCATCATATGTTCCGAGCATATTTGGAGAGACACCTCTCAAGCATACAAACATGAGTGATAACTATGCAAACATGAATGATATTAACGGCATAATGATTAATTTGTCAATAATTTTTTGTATAACTATACGAACTTAGTTGATTATATGGACCAAATTCTTTTTCCCAACAACAATTTAAAACACAAAAACCACTTTATTTTGATACTAAGGATAACTTTTTCTCCTCCTTATGAATGTTTAACATAAAAAAAATTCTCAAAATTTGTATTCTCTCTTTAAATTGAAAAATAACATCATGTAATGAGGCAAACCATATGGTCAATGCAATGTGGTCTATGGTTCGAAAAGGTATCATGACCTCTTATTTGGAGACACCTCTCAAGACATATACTTGAGAGGTGCTTAGGAGGAAAAACACCTCTCAAGTGTTTAGAGTTGTGAAAAAGATGGTTACACTGTCATCAGATGTTACTTGAGCATTAAAAAAATTGGCCACTCGTAAGTAAGCATCTGCAATTCTTGCAGAGGTATACCTTTGTATATTTGCTATTGTATTCATTATTATCACATTTTATATGGATCAAATTCTTTTTCCCAACAATTTAAAACACAAAAACCACTTTATTTTGATACTAAGGATAATTTTTTCTCCTACTTATGAAGGTTTAACATAAAAAAAATTCTTAAAATTTGTATTTTCTTTTTCAATTGAAGAATAACACCATGTCCTGAGGCAGGCCACATGGTCAATGCAATGTGGCAGCTACTTGAGAGGAGTGTCAGCTAAGTCTTTAGATAAAAATGGCCCTTACAACAAAATGTAAAACATGACCGTTCTTTCTCCCCAACCATTACTATATTTGTATAAATATATATAGCATTCTATATTGGCGGACTTCATCCACAATACTATATACGAAGGCATGTATATTATTTTAACTATTGAGTAAACATAATTCATAAAAGTGAAAACAAAATATAAAATAGGAAAATTTATTTTTATTTTTTTATTTTAGTTAACCCGGGGTGTCTGGGATGGCCCCTCAACAACCTGACTAATCCCCGAAGACCCGGAAGGACACCTCCCCACCCGGGTCAGGTAAGTCACTACAGGGGCAGCGGAGGGTAGCCACAAAGAATACCCAACGAAACTCGAACCCCAGACCTTGGACTTACTAAGCTCCAAAGTCTAGTGAGTAAACCGCTGGCAATATCCGAAATGGATTAACGTTCAAATTGGATCATGTTACCGGAGAAAATCAAAATGGCATGTTTTCATTATTATGTTTTTTTTTTTTATTTTTTTTTTGGGTAATTGGCATGTTTTTATTTATTTGCAGGTAGAGTACCTCGCTGCTTCTACAACTTTTACAATGATGTTCTGGTCAGTAAAATTACAATCACTGAAATATAGGTGTGTATGCTTTATTTTTATTTATTTTTATTTTTTTTTAAAGAAAAAAGCAATGTTGCAGTGCAACATTTCTACCACTACTACTAAAAGTAATGTTGGCTTTTTTGCCTAATCACTTCCACTGCGACATTGCTTTTTTTCTATTTTTATGCATATAATATTTTATTTTATTTTGAAATTTTACTCAATGTCCTCCCTTAAATTTTTGGCTTCGAAATATTTTGCATTCCCTTTCTACAATGAAACTCTATTTTTCTGTTTTTTTGCAATTTTTTTTTAAAACATTTTCTTGACTGCAATATTTTGGCCACATACTATTTCAATCTTAATTAATATTTCATTGTATTGTTACTTCAATTATACTTTTTTTCAGCCTCCAGTCTTGCTATAGTAGACATATTAATTTAAATATATATATTTTATTTGAAACCGCCACACTTTTTATCATATCAGTCAGAGCAACATCCAGTCTTGCTGAGGTAGGACATTTTTTGGCTGAATTCAATCGTTTTGGGCTGGGGAATTGCATTTTCTCAATTTTGAATATTTTGGAATTTCCGTTAGAAGAGTAAACTGTAACGACCCTAAAATGATACCAATTATAAAAAAAATTTGGCATGACCTCTGTTAAAAAGGGTCCTGCCACAACCTGTTGAAATGCATAAAAAAAAAATGTAATGGCCTCACTTGGCCATAAATTAATCTATCATATCCTAACGCACAATGCAAATAATATAAAACATTCCCAAAACAACAATATACATATAAAAAGAGTCCCGCTCCTCCAATACCTTCAAAAAAAAAAAACACGGAAGCGCCAGTCCACTACCTAGTCCTATACTCCTTTACAAGGAGCATACTCTAATTACATCAATTTATAGTCGATGAAATACAGCTGAAATCAAAAGTCCATAATTTATAACATTATACAAATTATATTAAGGTTTTACAGAATAGTCAAGATTTACATTTACAAAATATTAAAGTTCTAAACAAAAATAGCAAAAATATAAATCTCCAATCCTGTCTAATCTTGTGGTGGATGGTTGTCCGCCACCTCCTTTCCGTATCCTGAAAAAATATTAATAATAAAGGGGTGAGCACAATGGCTCAGTAGGAGGTGCATAAGACACACCTCTTGTGACCATGTGAATCCAAACAAGGAATAGGAAAAAGAACCGAGATCATGCCATTTCCGGGAAAAAAAATATAACTAAAGCATCAACAACAATAATCCAAGTCATAAATGAACCATGCCATGCTATGGAATGCAATGTCATGCAATATCTCTCCCCATTTCCAAAACCTTTTCCATCATCATTTCCAATCCGTTAGTGTAACTCGTCCCATAGCAACTCCAGGGCAGCACGAGAGAAGGATTGGCTAACTGTCCTTGACCCATGGCAACTCCATGGCGTCATTTGGGGCCCAGGTAACTCAACCACGCTAGAGAAATCTCCCCAGCTCCCTCTAGGCCACACTAATGCCACGGTCCCTAGGCAACTCCTAGTGGTCGGGTTTTTTGCAAACCCTTTCAAAACTTTTTTCCCAAAACTTTTTTCATTCCATTTCAAAATAACTTTCCCATTTTCCTTGCCCAATGCTTATGCATGAAATTCATCATACCTTTTCATGCCATGCCAATACTCATTTTCATACAATTAATTCAACTTAAACCACATAGCATGCTTTACAAGTAAATAAAACAAATATACATGCTTTCATTCAACAATAATCTAACATGGTAAGCTTATAAAACATAAATTTTAGTCCATACAAACATGTTCAATCACAACACATCATTCAACACATAATTAAACTTTCCATATACAACATTTAAGTAATTTTTGCAAGAATTTATACAAATTGAACATGTTAAGTAACAATTTATACAAGATAATTCACAAAAGCACAAGAAGATTCAATTTTGTCGAAAAATCCTCAAATGGGTCTAAATTTTCAAAAATCCTAAGGTGCACCAAATGATGAATTGCTTACATCAACGTGCAGATCTCGTCGTGCTCTCCGTTTTGCCGCAAACGGGACCCAAATATTCCAAATGATGAAGGAGAAATCAAGGATTGAATTTTGTGAAGAAAAGAAAAAAGAAAATTGAGAAAGAGAAGGAGAGAGAGAGACTCACGGGAGAGTGAGAAAGGTGAGGCCAATTGTGGCCTCCTTGCCACTTAAGAATAAAGTGGTGGGTCCCACCACTTTTTTTAAAAAAAAAAAAACTATTTCTCTTTTTAAATTTTTTTTCCCACCACACACACACACACATATGTATATACACACTAACTATATTATAACCACATAAAACACATTAAATAAAATGTATGAGATGAAAATGGACCCAACTAAAATCCCCGTACACAACAATTCCTGTAGTGGGTCCCACTCGGGGCTGTTCGGCCCGAAAAACGAAAAAAATGCCGAATTGGCAACCTTTGCATTTCTAAGAGTCATGAACTCAAAGAAATGGCCTAACCAATTCTTGGACACACCCAGCACACTCCACAGTGTCCGACACGCAAAATGAGGAAAGACGAAAATACCCTCGAAAAAATCAAAAAATTCCAAAAAAAATGGTGAAAAAATAACAAACATCACAATCTACCCTCTTTAAAAGATTTCGTCCTCAAAATCTACCCTCCTTAAAGAAGGAAGGTCACAGCCACTCACTTTCCCGAGAAAACCTCACAAAATCCCAAAACCATGAACTCACTAATCTTATTGCCTTTGACACCGGATGTCACCAAACAATCACACACCATTGCCACTAAAACCCAATGCGGGTACGCATCTCTCACCTCATCATAACATAAGACCAACTAGACCTTACGCCTGACTCAAAACGGATATTGACCCACTCTACACTACCACGAAAGGCTCTAAAGCCCGAGAAAAGAATAGTCATCAGACTACCAAACACGACAATCGTCTAAACCAAACTCATCCTTCAATGGACACACAAAATTTCAGACCAAGGATCTCATCCATCTCATAACCAAGCTCAACTAAGATCTACACATCCTTGTCAGACCAAACACTCATTACTCGACATATAGCTACGCCACCATATATTGGTACAGGCAACCACCAACCGCACCATTTGGCAATCATTACACTTAACAACCTCAAGATAACTGAATAATGAATCTCCCAACAACTACATAATCATGAGTCACCAAAACAATAAAACAAATTATCCTGCACCCAGGTCACAAACCCTCAAAACAAGATCTTCAATAATCAATGATTATACTGCAAATCATTTATTAAACACTTAGTACCATCTAACACCCCTCGTCACCCGAGATAAGTCATATGAATTAACACTGCCACAACAACACAATGCGTAAAACCGTGCTCTCACTGTCGCTAACAAATCAAAATGATCATTAACCCTTGACCCGACATCGTGCTAAAGAGGGACTGATTTAAGAGAAATGGTTGGCCAGGCCATTCCCATCCTTGATTCGATCTCAACACAGACGCCGTTCCTGTCCTCAGGTCCAAACCTCAAACACAGTCTCACACAATCCATAAAACAACCAAGTGATCCACTCACTATCCATCCATCGTTCCATATAACTTCAAAAACTATACAGTCACACACTAACTCTAAGAATCTCAATAACTCCTCAATCATGCAACTCGTAACAAGCTAAAAACAACACAGTACCAAACATCACAATCATCAACCAACACTAAAGATCTCTAATTTCCTTATAACATCCACACCAGGTAAATAACTCATAACATTACT